TGCAATTTGAATTTTTTCTATCATTAGAATTTATTTGTTCCTTTGTCATTTGCCAAAGTAAATAAATAATGATTCAGTTCTCTTTTCAAGATACTTCACATTGTCTCTAGAATACATGCATAATGAGAACCCAAGTGGAACTCAGGTTCACATTAGGGGGCAGAGAGAAGAAGAATATGTTTAACACTTGTTGAAATTTATGGACAATTTACAAGTCGAAGTTAAACCGAGATCATTGTTTAACACTTGTTGAAATTTGTGGACAATTTACAAATTGAAGTTAAATCAAAATCATTGTTTAACACTTGTTGAAATTTGTGGACAATTTACAAGCTGAAGTTAAACCGAAATCATTGTTTAACACTTATTGAAATTTGTAGCAATTTACAAGCTGAAGTTAAACCGAAATCATTGCTTAACACTTGTTGAAATTTGTAGCAGTTTACAAGTTAAGTTAAACAGAGAAGTTTGTCTATCCGAGGTGTGTCACCCTGAGAAGATTGCATAAAGAAGGAAGAGTATGTTAAAGACATGCAGAACATTCTAAGTATAGAATCACGCAAAAGCAGTCAAAAGAAGACAAAGATACAAATACTCAATGAAGGAAAGTTATATTAAGCAAGCAAGAAAAATGAGACACATCAGCCATATGGAGGGCTTACATTGTTTCAAAAACAAAGAAAAACAAAGTACAAAAGAAAAGACATCGAAATTAAGATTTCTCGGCATCAGCAACAGGTTGGGTTTGAACCTCGAAAGGCTGTCGAGAAGCCACCTCGGCCGTCTTTTTTGCCGCAAGCTTAGCATCAATTTCTTGCAAAGTTTCGTCAAGGCTCTTATTGGCAATAGTGACGTCGGCTAATGCCTTCTCAGGAGCAGCATCTCTGGGAACCTCATCACCTTCCTCATCTTGAGTCAAGTCTAGGACTTGCTCATTCTGAGGAGGAGACTTGATCCCAGCAGCATCTTTTGGTTTCCTCACCAAAATCTCCTCCTCAGATTCAGGGTCACTGTCAGATTGAGCTAGAGCTGGAGTTGGGGCTGGAGGGAATGGAAGAGGAATGAGGTCGGCATTTCTGAAGGGCGAGTCCTCGGGGACATTAAGCTTCTTTAGAAGAGACATCTAACCAAGGGTAAAACCCTTGTTGCATGCCTGCTTCACTTGAATTTCATAAGCCTCCGTGACGTCGGCCATACCTTGAGCATATGCCTTCTCGTCGGCGTCCTTGATTTCAGCCTCTTTGGTGGCCAAGGCTTCTTGAAGCTCTTTTTCGGCTTGGGCCATCTTCTCCTCGGCCTCTTTTCTTTGGGACTCAGAAACCTTTCTGATGGCTTCGGCAGATTCAGCCTTCTCTTCGACGTCAGTTTGGGCTTTGATTGCAGCCTCGGCTTGGTCCTCCAACTTTTTCATCTTTGATTGTAAACTCTTGTTGGCTTTTTGAAGAGCAGAGAACTCCCTCTTCATCTCGGCCAACTTCTCTCGATTTTCGAAAGATTAAACAGAGAAAGAATGGGCATGCTGGATGGCCTGAAATTAAATAAAACAGAAGTTGTTAGAAAATTTCTAAGTATGAGAAAGAAGGAAAAAAGTGCCAGATGAAAGACACTTACTTGAACAGAATGTTGAAACATCAGAGCATAATTTTCATACTCGCTCAACCCGGCGTTTCGGTCAAGATCGCCGGGGAGAAGCAGAGCAGTACTGAGGGCTACGCCGACATTGATGTCCTCGGCGCTATCGTTGGCCATGACTGGCTTATCTTCCAAGGTAATTTCGAGGGCCCAGGGGGCAGCAGGCTTTTTAGACCACGAGGTCATTGTAGAAGATGACAACGGCCTTTTGGATTTGGTAAAATCAGATGGAAGCGTTTCGGCGGACCTCTTCACAGGAACAGAGGCAGTTTTCTCGCTCGAAGCCAGTTTGGAAGTTGGCAAGGAATCCTCATAATCGATCTGAGGCACCTTTGCCTTTGGCTGGGCCTTTTTGATTCGTTTTGGCTTTAGAGGAGGCAGGGTTTGTGTTGGTTGTGCATCAACATCAGAAGGGATGCTGGCCAAGAGATCTTTTGCAACTGATTTTGGTCGACCCATCTCGGCAGTAGAAACTGTTCGGCGTCGATGGCGGCGTTGGGATATTGGAATCACGTATGGAGCCGAAGTTGACAGTTGCTCAGCTGGATCAGAGGTTGATCCCTGGTCTGTCCAAGATGTGGACGCGGTTTGTGGAGTTGTAGTAGAAGGTGGAGAAAGGCTTTTCTTCTTCCTCCTAGGGACGTCGGGCAGAGCTGACTTGTATGTTGGAATAAAATTGAGAAGCAGAGGCGCTGTTCATTTATGAACTGGCAGGTCCAAAAGTCTCTTCAAATCCTTGCTAGGAATGAATGATTGATGAAAGTTCTTTGGTGGCTTAGGAACAGCTGCAAGAAAAACAAACATTAAGAAATAGATAAAGTATGAAAGACTTTAAAAAACAGGTAGGTATGAATGCAGGGCTCTTACCATTGCCCTCTACAAAGACTGATCGAAGGAGAGGGAAGAGATGGAGGTCTTCATCTGGGGCGAACTTCCAGTTCCCCGAAGTAATGGAATAATCGTCCTCAGCTCCCTTGTTGGAAACAGGGAGGTCAGCAACGATTTTGTATTTAGTGGACCTCGGCTTGAGGTAGTACATGTAGCTAGTGTCTTTTTTGAGGCCACATATAGTGTAGCAAAACTGGATGTCGTCTAATGTGATCCTAGCGTTCTCTTGTTTAGCTAAGGCTATGATACTATTGATGGTTCGATAGGAATTGATGGAAAGTTGCATTGGATTCAACATGTAATAATGAAATATTTCACGAAAGAGGATGTTGAGTGGGAGCTGAAGTCCATACTCAATAAAGGCTACCACAGGGAAGGGCATGGAGTCATCAGTAGGCATGATGGAGTCATCATCCCCAGCCAACCTCAGATGGACGTCGGCTGAGATTTCAAACTCTTGTCTAAAGAATTCTAGTTTGGATGGGGTGTTTATCCTATGTTTCCACATACCCATAATTCGGCTTAAATGGAGATATCGGATTTCAGGAAGAAGTATTTTTGGAAGGTTTAAAGGACCTCGGCCAAAAACCTAAAAGTACACTTTGGTAAGGGTTTGTACGGATCTAGAGGAAGTTCGTTTCAGTTTTTTCTAAATTGTGGGTTCTACAGACAAATCCCAAACCTAAGTCTATGGAAACAAAGACTGAAGGCACGAATCTGGAAAAGACACAAAAAACAGAAACAAGAGCGAGTTTCAGAAGCAAGAACAGAGATGGTCTATCAAGAGCATAAGGAATACAAGAAGTATAAGGCCAAGAACAGTGGCAAAAGTACAGAGAAGTGGTGAAACAGTGCGTGTGTTCAAGATATGGGCAAGGGCAAAATCGTGGGAAAAAAAAAACACATTTAGATGTATGATTCACAAGTTAAAAGTTTGAACAAATACAGTAATGACAGCAAGTAATAGAAAGCATCAAAGAATTGAAAACGAAAGGAACAGAAAACTCACCGAAGAAAAGAAGCCGGTGTAAGGATCGCCGAAGTCAGACAATGGTTACAGAAGTAACAGAACGGCGGAAGCTTCACCGGAAGGAGAATGAATGCAATTGCAGAGCTTGAGGTCTGGAACAATGGCGTATTCAAGAGCTAGAGAGAGAAAAAGCAGAGGAATCGAATGAAAAATGCAAAAATGGAAGAAGAGGGAAAAGTTTTTTGTTAAAACTTGAAAAGGCGGCAAAATCAAATTAATGCACCTAGAGCAGTGAATGCGTCAGACTGCGCATGCAGACAAGACGGTTTGTTGGCGCGTCACTAGCACGATCCAATAAGGATAAAATGCATGAATGAAACGGTTGAAAAGTGATGTTTTGACAACTCATACGCATAAAGGAATTCATGATCTCGCATAAAGTGAATGAAACGGTTGAAAAGTGATGTTTAAGAAGACATGTCGGCCTACGATGATGATCTCGGATTAAACCGATAAATTAGCATGAGGTACTAATATAGGTTCCATCACCTCAAAATGTCGAGGTAATAGAACCTAGGGGGCAGTTGTGGGGATATATATTTTTGAGTACCAACACGTGGCAAGGTAACGCCGACGTGTCAGCCGAGGTGCCACGTGTCCTGGTCGTTATGCCGAGGTCATCTCGGTTAGGCCGAGGTTATCTCTGAAGATGTCGGAATCCGAGATAAGCGGATAAGGGATAAGGGACAAGAGTCCTAGAATAAAGAGGAGACTTAGCCAAGATAAAGATAAAGCTCTTAGGGAGTTTATCTTTATCTCTTAAGGAGTCCAAAGTAAGTACTGAACAGGAATCCATAGAAGTCAGGCTTCTATTGGGATTAGGATTGAGTTTGCTTTGTTGCTCCAACTTTAGGGTTACTTTTCCTAAATCTTCTTTAAGGGTCTTAGGGTTTTCTTTTGGAATATTTTTCCTAGTTTTTCTTGATGTTTGATTGAGTATGAACTCATGTTCTTATAAGCACACATCAAGGAGTTTGTTTGATATTTTCTTTGAGAGTATTCTTCTTCGGTGGAATCCGAAGATTCAAGCACAGAGTAATCAAAGGAGTTTGATGCTGTGTGTAGTCGATTATTCGACATTTGATGTTGTGGATTCAACATCAAGTTAATCAATTTCGTGTGAAGGTTGCGGTGAAAGACATACAGAAGATTTGAAGACAAATTGGAAGCGGTTTTGGTAATTTGTTTGGTATCTTTGTAATTTTTCTTTCTTTAGTAGTGGATTGATTTGTGGCGTTTTGCCTGTGGTTTTTGATCATAATTGAAGGTGCTTAAATTGTGATTTTCCACGTAAAAATTGTTTGTGTCGATTTACTGTTTTCGAAAACAATAATCTAAATTACTTTCGTACGTACTTAATGATATGGATTGTGAGTTTTAATTGATTAGGAATCGGAATAATTAAATCTTGATCTAATCACGAATCACTTCGGTTTTTCATATTCATTTTCTATCCTCTTGGATGATCCCCATTTTCCTCTTGGGTTTGCTCTAAGTATTTAAATCTATTGGGCCTGGGGGCAGTATTTGGGTCCCCTGTTTTCTTGATATAGACCGGCCTGCGATTTTTCTTCGTAACAAGCATCCAAGGGCCATACTCTTCATCTTGGTTTAGACCGGGTTGTTGAGGGTGAATGTTGTCTTTGTCAGTAGCCGTTGAAGGACTGGCTTCATCGGAAACGGCTAGTTGCTTTGGTTCCGGTCTAGGTTTAGGTGGCTTGAATCGGTAGCTCTCTTTTCGGTGGTCCACCCCGCCACAGAAGAAACAAAATGCGTGTAAGGATTCGTATTCTATGGTATAGTATTCACCTTCCAAGAAGAATCTGGGACATAATGGTTTCCTTAGGTCCAGTTCCACACAGACGTGGGCAAATTTACCCCTAGTGGCCATTGCGATTGTCATAGCCAATTTGAGGGGTTTCCTAATTGTTTTTGCTATAGCAAACAAGACTTTGTCTTGGTAATACTCAATTAGAAGCTCTGGAAACCTCACCCTGACCGTGGTTATGGTTTTAAAAGCTTCTAATGCTTTAAAGTTTGGTTCCCATTTGCAGACCGTGAGGTAGTGGTCCATTATCACCTATGGGCCCCCTGTATATACTTTCGTGTAGTCCTCCTGCATAGTGAAATTAAAGAGATAGAAATTACTGGTCAATCGCATTAAATTCCCCTTGCAGCCCCCAGATGTTTTTGACTCTGGTACATAACATTCTGTACCCAATTTTTTTCCCTAACAGTCGGATGATTAAAGCTTTTTCCCATGGCTTTCTGATTTTCTGCAGTAATTTTTGGGGTAAGAAGACTTTGGGTGTCCCCAAGGAATCTGCTACTTCTCTGTCTTCCATGGATACTTCTTGTGGACTATCATCTTCCTCATCGGAGGATAGGATGTCCACCCTACTGTCGAAAAGGTAGTCCATGTGCTTTGGCTTAGTCAATGCTTTTTTAAACGATCGTATGGGAGGGATCTCTGCTTTTTTAGGTATCCCTTGGTGGGTCTCTGAACTAGGTTCTACTGCGGCGGCCATAGTTTTATCCATGTCTTCTCTTACAAGATTACTAGAGCTTTTGATCTTCTTAGTACTTCGGATTAGATGGTCTTCTTCCTTTGTGGAGAGTAGTAGGTTGTTATGCAGATGGTCATCTTCTGCCATCGATCGTCTTCGAGAGAGAGAGCGTTTCAGGAGCTGAATTAAGTTATTTCAAGTGTAAACACCTTACTTTTTTTTTTTGTGAATCAAAAAAAAAAAAAGAAAAGGTATAAACACCTTACAATAATAAAATTATCATGTATCATAAATTTTTAGTAATCATATATTTTTCTGTTGATATGTAATTATTTTATTTCATTTTATTTTATTTAAAATACGATCACACTATCCCTTATTACTACAAATACTATTTTTAAAAATAAAAATGTTGTATAAATTAATAATCTTTTGACTCGAACAAATTTTTTAAAATAATTTTTAAGAAAAATTATAAAAAAAACATAAGGTTTAACTCTTATAACAAAATAAATTGATTTTTTTTTTCATTTTATCAATTTAAATCATATATATATTTTTTATTTGTTTTCAATTTAAACAATTTTTCTATTTTTGTTAAGTAAAATTTATGAAAAAATAATATTCTAATCATTAAATTCAAAATAAGTGTAGATTAAATATCTAAAATACCAAGAAGAAATTCAACTTGAAATTGAAAATTTTCATAGATTTGGTGAAACTTCTCAATTAAATTTGATAGTTTTGATATTTTTCAATTTTGCTCACTTTTTTTTTTTTTTTTTTTTTTGGGGGAAATTTTCTTTAAAAAAAAAAAAAAAAAAAAAAAATTCTCATTACACCCAAAATTTTCAAAAAAGATTATTACGCTTTTACCCTTTTCTAAAATTACCCAAAAAACCCTAACCCTAATTTCTCAGCACACCTATCTTTTCCCACCATCTCTACCAGCCACCATCACTGCAACTATTGACTCCCACCGTTGTTCTTCGCCACCATTTCTTTTCTCTTTTCTCATCTCCCGCTGCTTGTCGTCGTCATTCCTACACCATTGCGATCCAACCATACTCTTTACTTCCCTCTATTACGCTTTCTCAGCCTTCACTACAACCACAATTGGCGCCGCTGTGAACCAATCCGATATCATTACACCAAACTCCCATTACTATAACCTAGTTCGTCTCCAAAATCGAACGCCGTGTACGCGAGAGGGAGATAGAGAACGAGGGTAGAATAAGGAGAAGATGAGAGGCAACAACGACGGCTGGTTCATGCAGCAGCAAAGGGAACCAGTTCGTTCCTAGGGTTTCTCTCTCTCTCTTTCTCACTGAGGTGGAAGAGGTGAGTTTGGTTCGTGATAGGTCTGGGGTTTCAAAGCTCAATAGGATGGTAGATTGCGTTGGAGCAATAGTGAGAGCTAACGGGGGAAGGAGGAACGACGGTGAGAAGGAGGATCAGTGGCTTGAAGAGGAGGTGATGACTGTAAAGGATGTTACCAGTGGGAGTGGGTCTGGATATTAGAGTTGAAGATGGTGGCTATGGCGGCTGTGAGGGAGGTCGTTGGTGGGGCTGAGTCTGAATGTTGAAGTCTGAGGTGGTGGCTGTGACTGTCAGAGGTAATGGTGAGAAGTAAGGAAGAGTTGGGGTTTGTAAGGTTTGGGTGTAAAGATGAGGGTATGATGAATATTATAGTGATTGTAAAGAGATGATTGGATTTTTCCGTTCCTCTTTGACTGAATAAAGGTGGTGTTAAGTAGGATATGAGAATGGAACACGGTGGTTCGCCAGCTCGGAGACTGGAGGACGGCACAGGGACGAATAACTATTCCATTGTAACCAACCAACAACACAACCAAGAAAAGGGTGACGACGTTGAGAAATCAATTGAGGAAGAGGATCTATTGGAATGTCATAGTAAAAAGAAAGGGAACACTTTGGAAGGTCTTGTTTATGTTAACCGTTCATTCAGGGAGGCTCTCTTTTCTCCATTTCACTTGATAAACAGTTAGGAATAGCTAGATTTACTCCCGAATGTCATAGTTGATGAGGTTTTAGACCCTGATACTTTAATACCTTCCATTTCTTTGTCGAAGGAAGAGATTGATAGAATTCGTGACCCTTGGCAAAACTCGCTCATTGTGAAGCTTATGGGCCAGAGTTTGGGTTATACGTACCTGATGGACAAACTCAAGAACATCTGGAAATTGAATAGTACCTTTTTCAGTATCGATCTGGGCAACTATTTCTTTCTTATGAAATTCCAAGATGTGATAGACCTGAATAAGGTATTGAATGAAGGCCCTTGGTTCGTAGGGATGAACTTTCTTGCGATTCGTCGCTGGGAACCCGACATTCAACAGGAGAAGGCAAGTCTTTCAACTACAGTGGTATGGGCCAGACTTCATAGTCTCCCCATTGAATATTATGACCACCAGATTCTTCGGCGGATTGGTAACAAGTTGCGAAAGGTCCCGAAGATTGACTTCCACACTGAAAATAGAGATAGGGGTAGATTTGCAAGACTATGTGTGCAAATAGATATGGCCAAACCACTCATAGCCAAATTGTTAGTGGGGTCCATCCTTATCAAAATTGTTTATGAAAGCATCAACGCCATTTGTTTTTATAGTAGCATGATTGGACACAAGTCCAGCGAGTGCCCTTCTCAGGTCCAAATTAATCAGTCGTCTAGAAAACTAAGTACTGTCACTCTCTCTTCTCATATAGTGATGTTTTTGGTCCTTGGATGTTAGTCCAGAGGAAGGGCAAACAATTGAAGAAACTGGTGCCGGAGAAGCAGACCAACCGGAGAACCCAACAAATCTGGTCAAGAAAGGACACTAGTTTTCAAACTTTGGCGCCAGATGTCCAAGGCCAAGCTGTCCCCCCACTGCCTCAGTAACCTTTAACAATTAATGTTGATAACAACCTTTCAACCCCTATCACTCTACACGTCAACTCTTTTGCTTGTCTCAAAGACTGCTCTATACCCCTTTTGGAAACCGTTCCTAGTATCCATCACTCTTCAGAAGTCTCACACCCTGTTTTTAACTTATACCCTGGTACATCCTAGCCTGTTGCTACAGCCTATGACCTCTTTGTGCTTCGTCTACACACCCCTTTGCCTTGTTCTATCACCACCTCGACCAGTATGCATTTTGAATCTTTATCACATTCTTCTACTACTGCCCATACTATCTCCTCACCCTTTGTAGACTCTCCCTCAAACCTTCGCCATGCTCCGTCGATCTTTTCACCCCAGAACCCTCCGCCACGACCTCATCCGATCGTCCAGTCCCCACTCAGAACTAACCTTCCCATTCCGTTTGAACAATGTAGAGGAATAGAACCAGCTAGGTGGTTCATGGAGACAACAACTGGGTTCTCCAGGGTAGACGATCGACTGCTCAAGATGCTCCAGAGAGACCCAACCTTTATGTTGGGATGGTACTATCCAGAAATAATAAACATATGGATGAGCCTTTTTCCATTTCTATCTCTACCATTCCATCTGCTGCATCGCTAAACAGTGATTGTCACATTTCTGTCAACCCCATTCACTCACGCAATAGACTTTCAATGACAACTAATCCAGATGAATCAAGTGGTCATGCCCAGTTTGAGACTGTTAACAAACAGCTAGCCGGTATTGGATCCATTGGTGGATGAGACTTTCTCTCTGCCCCATCCTTACCGTTAACAGATCGGTTGCACCTAACCTCAATTCCATGGGAGATTACTCTCTGAGGTCATCTCAACCAGGCAATATTGGTAGAGACTTCTTCACTGCTCCAACGACTACGTGTTACCGCCAACTTCTACATAACGCAAGAAAATCAGGCTTTTGAACACTTGATTCAGCTATTTCCAAACCTTCACACCGCAAAAGTAGAAGTTATGGGCCCAAAATAGATTTCACAGAAGGAGGAAGTGCTGAAAAAGGAGGAGTTTGCACTCCCTTCACTCCCCTTTTTTAAGTCTGCAATGAAGGCATTTTTTTAGAACTGCCGAGGGGCGGCCAACCCCTATTTCTGAAGCCATTTCCGCAGTTTGATAAAAGAACATCACCCCAACCTTGTTGTCATTACTGAAACTTCTGTTGGTGGAGACCGAGGTACAAATATTTACAAGAGCTTGGGTTTCCCTAATTTTCATATTGCTGAACCAGTTGGTTTTCCTGGTGGTATCTGGTTACTCTGGAATAGCCTTGAGATCCATTGTGACGTCCTCTCTGTCACACAACAGGAGGTCCACGCGTGTATCCAAGTTCTATCTCAACCTTCTTCTTGGTTTTTTCCTACCATTTATGCTAGCCATCATTTTAATCTCAGGAAATTACTTTGGAAAAACCTTAAATTTTTTGCTGACTCCCATAATCTGCCTTGGTTGTTAATAGGGGACTTTAATGAAATTCTGACTAGTACAGAGAAACTTGGAGGCCAACCTATTGACATTCGGAGAGCATTACTGTTCAAGGATTGTTTAGACCATTGCGGGTTGATCGATATGGGCTTCTCTAGGCCTCGGTTCACTTGGAATAATTGCAGACAATCAGGTTGTTTCATTA